ATAAATACATAAAACTGTAGACGCCGAGTAGCAAAACATGCACCAACACTTTTTCAGCCCACATCTCATTTTCTAACTTTGCTTTGTCAATCACAGACACCAGCATCTATTTAGAGATAATACAGCTTAAAGCATAAATTTCACTCTCTCTCACACAAAGATGCTCACACTCTGACACAGAGTTGGACTGGGGGCAGAGGAACCTGGTGTGAACCCAGATGTTTTGATGACAGAACAGATAAGCCAAAGAAAAGCAGAGTTTTCAGCAGTGGTGGTTCAATAAAACAAAATAACCCCATGCTCACAGAGTGACTACATGCTTGTGTTTATTTTTCAGGGCTGGAGAGTGTAATTACTTGACTACCACCGCTGCTGCTGGTGTTTATGAATCCATTTTACTCTCAGTTGGAAGCGGTTCAATGAGTTTGGTCCTTTTTTTGGAGGGATGCCTGATGGCTAGTAAGTTCCGGGACCTGTTGACAGTAGAACAGCATTGGTTCTTCTAACTATCTTTTGCTATTTATAATTGAATCACAGTGTATAGTTATATTAACATAGATCTAAAGATATAAACTGATGGAAAGTATGAAGATACATAAAATCACAAACAAATGAGGCTAAAAAGCTGATCTACTTCTGATATATAAAAAAAGAGGAAAAAGAAATGACAAATGAACATGTGTTGATGTTATCATTCAAAGATTAAGCTCTTATTAAGTCCTTGAGGGCCAGATTTCTGCAACTTAAAGATGTGTTGCTGGTTACATACAGATCACTCAGATAAACTGGTCATCAACAGGTTTCTGTACAACCTGGTTGCATGCTCCCAGATTGTTCAGCTATCAGATTTAGCTGTGCAGGGCCAGGAACTGTTCAAACTGTTGCAGGACAGCCATCATTTCTCAGTCTTCTTCAGACTTTTAAAACCTTCAGTAAAAATATATTCAATTTAATCTGATTCCATATTATCAAATTCAAGTGGGAATGGTGTTTGAAGGTCTTTTTGAGTTAAACATTTACTCCCCTGATTCAGTTGAAAAAGCATCGATTTCAGGATTTCAGTCACCCTGCTAGCAGGGTAGATACCTGTCCAGCTCATTATCTCTGTCTCTGTCGAAGTCTCAGCTTAGTGCTTTTATAGGCAGGCGGCCGTAAAAAGGGGGTCATATTGATGATAAAGGAAGTGTCCCTTAGACATGGAGAAATAACTCTTTTGAGGAATATCTTTCAAGACAAATCTCTTAGGAATAGCAGTGGGCTGGACTCCACAGCTCTCCGCTTAAACCTCTACACATCTTATTTCTTCTGTGGTATTCGGGTGGGTAGCTTCTCCCCTCATCACTTTGGGGTGCTGCTGCCTGATCTAATATAAAGGGCCAAAAGCTGAGAGAATTATTTAATCTCACAGGATCTTTTGAAGATATTCTCACACAAAACCTCTGAAATTCCTCCATTAGCTTTTAAGTTGTAAAAACTACCAAATACTGCATCAATGTTCAAAACCGTTTCAAGCAAGATTCTTTTTTCCATTTATGGCCAACTATTTATTTACAAGTGTAACTAAACCAATGATGACTATTTTTTTTTTTTATAAAAGCAAATGATTCAAACAATTAGGTTTTTCCATTGCAGCTTTTCTGTTTCTATGATTTGTCAGCTGTTTGCACCGTACAGTAAATGAAAGAAAGTAAAGCTGACACAGCATGTGACCTGAAAAGATTATAAAAGTTTAAAAACTTCACATATTAGAGGTTTGCATAGTGCTGCATAATAAAACATTAGCAAGCACATATTAATTATAAAGAAGATATCTAAAAACGGGTCAATAGGTGTTTAAAATTGGCTACAAACCTTTTATTGATGCATTTCAGATCCTACTCTTCAGATTTGAAAATATTGGCTGAACACATAAACACATTTTAAAGTATATATAAATACATAACATAAATAATAAGTGATATAAATAGTAACTTTAAACAAATAACGACGTTCATTGCCTCAAGCTGCACTAATAACTATAATAAGGGTACATGTGGTTTTCCTGTCCTTGAAAATCGACCTGTAAAAGTGGTTTGCAGTGGCATAGCTGCAAGCAAACAGTCATGCAAATAAAACTGCAAAATAAAGAAGCAATTGGAAGAAACTCATGACAAAAAAAAAGAAATTGAATATATTAATACTCACAGACACATGGTAATCTTAAGATGAACATCTGCAGAACTAAATAATAAATCACTGTTATTATCAGAATCCTCTCAATGTAAGACAGTATTTGTCACTTAAATGTGGCAGTAATTTTATTTGCAGTTTCGGAAACAATTTTCATGTGTGTGTGAGTTTTGAATTTAAGGGAAGTAAGAAATGTTAAAGTAGTACTTAATCCTTTGCAAATTGGTAAGTCGTGTCATGCTGAGTACAAGAGATAAAGGGCTGCCGGATTCATAGCTTAGGCTGCCTAAGCACAAAGGCATTTTCTATTGGTTAAGAAGCTGCAAAGCACAGGTGCTTTTTGACTTCCTGTAGGCAGTTATCCAGTTGGCCCAATGCTCACATCTGTTCAGGGTGAGATAAAGTGGGATATACTTTCTTAGTGTGACCTCCAGACATATTCCTGGCTTGTCTTTACTCATCTACACCTTCCCTGTCTGCTCTCTGATCTGATGTAGGATTAGCTTTACTCGAATTATCAGAGTACACAAAGTACCTCTTGGGAAATTAAATATTTTTCATATCTTCTCACAACTGAACTGTGGTGGGAACCACAAGCACAAGTTGAGCGTGACCACAGCTGATATCTGTTTAAACTCCATCATCCAGCTCTTTCTGTTAGAAATTCATGCATCAAAAGGACTCCCTCATCCAGAAGATTGTATAGATCTGATGCCCCCCAGCTGCTCTGCTAATTCAACATAGGTTTGATCATCTTTACTAGATCTAAAACCCTCCACACTTTAAATTTTTACCTTGGGGGCTTCTGCCAAGCAAACTGTCACGACAGATCCTGCGCTCTGCTTCCTCCTGTGTGGATCTCCGTATACTATAAATCTCTTCCTGGAACCATGAACTTATAACTGGGAAGCTCTTTTGAAGATGAGACTAAATTTGAACTCACATTATTGCTTTTACAGTTCACCAACTCCTCCGTGTCAGAAACGTCAGTGATCCATGAAGAACTTGCCATAATAATCTCTGTGGGGCAGCGCTGTCCAAGTATTTAAGACAAGGTGACGCAGAAAGTGACCATCAACTATTGGCTGATGGTTGTCCCTGACTACCCTGACCTCACATACATTCAGCCCCTCCGACTGCTGTTGTATGATTGTGCAAATCCAGACTAAACACAAAGCAACCGTGAACACCACACTGACCTCCAGCTGAACAGTCTTGTTTTAAAAGCTCATTTTTCACTTTCTATAAACACATCACACTGTACGAACACCAGCACTTTCCTGTCACCAAAATGAATAGACCGGAGGCTTATACATTATTTCTCTTTTCTTGTCCAAACACTTGCGATCCAGAATAACTGCCTTACCACCCAAAAACGAAGACTCAAAGAACTTCTCGCCTCAATCTTATTGCTTTGGTCTCAAATAAAAGACCTCCTTTAAGCAACTGGGCCAAATTTCCCGTCTGCTACTATCATATTTGTGCGGCAAAATGTAAGAAAGGTGATAATAGGATTTCTGCTGGTTTCAAGGAGATTTACCAAGTCCCAGAAGAAGAGAGCCTGTGTAAAGTGACCTTTTTAAAAAAAAACTGTATTCTGTATAATAAATTTCAAATTAATAACATCTATTAGCTCAAGTTATGTGTGATTTAAGGAATGGGTGTATATTTATAAGAGCCAGAGGAAGTTTTTTGTCATTTTTTTTTTTACAAATTTCATCTAATTACTCCCAATGACTTTCTTAGGCACATTGCAGGACGCCCTAATGGCACAGATTTATCAAAGTTGCCGGCTGCATATCCTTCCACCACATCCTAGAGGGGGTTTAATGGATTGATGGACTGGTGACCACTGATGCCACTCCAGATCAATACCCTTATTGTCATATTCAAGATGTCTGAGGTGATTAAAACTTTTTGATGGGGTTATGCTTTTTGAACCTGCCATTAGAAGATATGTTCACCAATGTCAGAGAGAAAAGAATAAGTCAAGAGCAAATCTAGTGTGGCTATGGTGTTTAATTAATCTACCAATCAAGGGAAGGGGCATGGTAAACATTTTATTTGCAGTATGTATGAGACAAATATTGAGCAAATCCTTTCTGATAATTGTATTAAAGGTGCAGGCAAAAACACACCACTTTCAGTACAGCTACTAATATGACACACAATCACACTTTCCTACGGCCAGCCTTTGGAGTGCATACACATGAATGGAGCTCACCTCCATGAAAAATCATAAAAGCTTTACAACTGCTGCCCCTGGGCCAGTTTTTACACTGGCAAGGGCATGATTTTTCACAGAAGAACGGGCTTTTGTTTGAATGAACAAAGGGAATTTCCTCTCTTCTCTCTCTTTCTCTTTGAATCCTATCGTATGGCGCCTCGCTCCCTCCCACACGCCTGTTTCTAAGTTACCAGCAGCACTGGCTGCCAATCCCGCTTAATTGCCTCCTGTGTATACTGACAGCTGATGAGCGAGCAATGAGAGGGAGCTGTCCTCGCCTATTCTTGCAGATCAGTCTCTCTGTTACCTTTCCAGGGGGGAGGATTTCATCTAAGAATTGTTCTTCACCCCTTAGGGAAATAAACAGTATTGCTGGCTTGGAGTAAAAACTTCGGTAACCAACATGGAAACTGGGGAAATGTCACTCATAGTAACATGAAACATCATGTTCTTTAAAAACAAACAAAAAAATAAAATAAAAAACTATACTATGAAGGCAAAAAGTTAAAGCAGGAAAAAAACAAAGCCAGCTTTGAATGGAGAGAAGTTACCGTATTCAAAAGCAGAATGAAGTATTCAATGCTGAAAAGCTTTCTATAGTTACCTTGACTGATCCTGGGGGAAAATAAAAGATCTCTGCTTGTCTGCCACTCACAGAATCATCCACCCTGTTGATCCTTGTTCCCTCTTCTTTTATGTGTCTTCCTTACTTATAGATTCTCCTCATCCTCGGGCGTGGGGCTGAAATTAACAGCTCATGCGAGAAAGCCAGAAAACACACCAGAGTGGAGAAGAAACACACTCTTCTCACCCCTTAGTTCTCCTTGGCAGTCTATCCCCATCCGTCAGAGCGCAGCAACTGAAAGTGTGTATACACGCAAGAGAGAGAGGGAGAGGAGGAAATGACACTCCATGGGTGAGTGAGAGGGTGTGAGAGAGTGGAGGGTTATCCTCTGTACAGTACGAGCTCCTGTTTATCTCTCTGTCTGTCTGCCTCATGTGCATGCATTCCTTTCCAACACAAGCCACAGGGTCAGCTGCTTTTACAGCAACCAGAGTTGGTTTCCTCCTGAGGGAAAAGATTTCCTGTAAGCTCGCTCCTTAACTTTCTTCATGGCGAAGGAGGTCTGAGTTTGTTGGTCTTTTTGTTTTTAATAATTCTCCTCTCTCATGCAGTCATATTCCTGCTTAGCGGGTCTTCAATTTAGACTTATCGGCTTCCAGGCCAGCCTTAATATAATTTCCCCCTCTCCAAACATGGCCTATGCAGTGGTTAACCTACTCATGTGGCATCGGCTGCTGTATCTAAAAACAAAGCAAAAATGTATTTAGATTCTTTATTTTTTTTTTTTCTTTGTGGGTACTTTTATTCATATATGATGGTATGATGTAGTAAAGATTACTTGCTGAACTTGCAGTCATAAATACATCATCAATGAAGAAACAGGGATTTTAGATCCTTGGCCCCAGAAAAGCTTTTCTGATAGGTATGACTTTAGGAGCAGGATTGAGATAAGCAAGGCGCTTTCCATTAAAAAAATAGAACCAGTCTGTCTTATGGTTACATATAATGCTGCTGCTGTGGGTCTAATTGTACGGATAAATCTTGTACCTGATTAACCTTCTTTAAACCCCACAGCCTGCCTACAGTAGGTAGTTTCAAACTCAAGGCCCGTGGACCAAATCTGGTTTGTCTTGCAGGAGGGAGTGGTGTGACATGACAGATAATTTTTTTTCCAAGATAATTAAATTCAGTTTTTATTTCAAAATGTAACTTTTAAAAGTTAGCTTTGTTTTCAAGACATAATTATGATGGAGGTTTCCTACAGATCAGATTGGAGTAATAGGCATTTAGTGGGCAGTATCTCTATAGTGTTTTTGAAGTCATATAATTCAAACCACTTTACATTCAGTTTTTCAGTCATTCGTGCACTTATTCACACAATGCTACATTTCTATGAAGTAGCCACAACTAATTTTGTAATACTGACAGAAACAAGGCTGCCATACATCAGATACTCTGAGCACCAGCAGGCAAGACGGGTGAAGTGTCTTACCTTGGCCCTTGAAACGGCAGCCCACTAGTTACAGGACAAGCTCTTACCTCCTGAGCCACTGTTATCCATATTCACTGGTGTGATACCATAGATATTTAGTCCCGGCAGATGGGGCAAGTATGACATCACAAATATTTATACATTTATCTTAAGAAATTAATTTTAATAGTTGTATGTCATTCAAAAGTTTTGCTTAAAGATATATTTAACTATTTATTGGAATATTTTATAGGACATATATATTTACATATATATTTTTATATATATCTTTTTCATGGTATATTCATATTTATCTATGATAGATATTTACTTAATGTTCCTTCTTTAACACTCCATAGACTTTTACTGATCAACCTAAGAATGAGAGATTATGGGCTAAATATTTGGCAATATCTTTAGCCAGGACGGCAATACATCAGGCGAAGTTGCTGTTAGCATTGTTGGGGTCTGTTCAATGCTGGATGTTAGTTATACCTGGTTTGCTGATTGCACAGTGTATTATATATAATATCGAATTTTAAATGCAGGGTGTGCTTAAGTAGCGCAGTGCTTAGTGCGCATCAACCATGCATGGCTCTTCCCCTCTCTCATACCCTTTTCCTCTCAGTCAACTGTACAAAAAATGAGCCACTAGTGCCGTAAGAAACATTACCAAAAAACCAAAAACAAATGTAAAGCACTGAAGTCCTGCATAATTGGAATTTATATGTTAACAATATATTCTCTAATTAATTTTGTAATATAAAGGGCATTTACTAAATATAAGCTGTTATAAATAACGAAAAAGCATTTGGAAACTAAAAGGGTAGGACTAGTCAGTTAACAGAGATAAAAAAGCTGGGTCTGTGTGGTGGAGACCATGACTCTATTATTTGAATATACTGTAAGTTACTAAAAGGATTTGTATGTACAACTCTAAGTTCTAAGTAAATTGTGTTTTACATTAGTAGGTTTTTCATTTTGGAGAAATCGGATGGATTAAATAATTCTGTAAATTTAATTACAGCTCTAATTTGACAATCAAAACTGTTGTTTATTTAAACAATACGTGAGAAAGATGAGATTTACCAAGATAGAAATAGCTTTACCCCCATTTACCTATCGATCTAAGTTCCCGACGTCACCTGATGTCATCACATCTGGTTAATGACTGAAAGGACAAGATCGCGAATACAAGCGGGAAAAATTATTTTCACAGGGTGGGTGGGCGCGCCCTTTGAGATCGGGTGAGGAGCTCAGATCCCCGGGAGGAGCTTGGAGTAGAGTTATTGCTCCTCCATGTTGACAGGGGCCAGCTGAGGTGGCTAAGAGCATCTCTTCTGGATGCATCCTGGTCACCTATTGGGAGGAGGCCTTGTGGAAGGCTCAGGACACGCTGGAGGGACTATGTCTCTTAGCTGGACTGGTGTCGCATGGGGTTTCCCCAGAGCAGCTGGAGGAGGTGTGTGTGAATCAGGAAGTCTGAGGATCCCTATTGAGAATAGATGGATGGATGGATGGATGGATGGATGGATGGATGGATGGATGGATGGATGGATGGATGGATGGATGGATGGATGGATGGATGGATGGATGGATGGATGGATGGATGGATGGATGGATGGATGGATGAACCTGATTGGTTAACGCAACATGAATGTGCTCCATCCTTGGGTCCACTGTCCCTATTGCTATACTGCTTTGCTCTGATCAGCAAATTTTTGCAATTTGCATTGTCTGAAATTAATCATTTTCATTGATCCTCATGCTGCTATGAATATGTTGGTATGAATATGTTTTTTGTTCAATGTGTCTATTGTTTATCATATTCTTTTTGAGATATCAATTTGATTTGTTCATATACCTGCAAATGTAACTGTGTCAAGTACCCCAAAAATATTACACACATAGACTGGCTTTCTCACACTGTTGGAAAACTGGCTATTAAGCCTACACTGAATATGTAACATAACATCACTAAGATAGGCAGTTGCATGCATGGGCTTTAATTACTCTAAAACTGATATATCCAGGTCATTTTCTGATATAAATTTAATTGGAAACCAGCCTGTCTTATAATAAAAGCAATACCATGATCAAAATTAGGTCTGTCTGAAACCCATATATGTTTAGATATCATGCTGGAGCCCACAAGCTACTGCTTCTTGGGCTCCAGCAGGTAAACCTAGACAGGGTAATTAAACAAAAGATTGACAAATGCAAAGTATAAATATGTTATATGATTAATTAGAAAGAACAACACAAAACCATGATGGCAGATTCTTTTTCTAAAAGAGGGAGGTAAGAAAACAAAAGCCATTTGCAAATGTCACATACTCAAGCTAAAGTTCTAGTGCTATGATGAAGTTAAACTGAACTTGTTTAGATCATATTGTGTATGGCACACATATAGTGCAATTATTAAAAAAAAAGCCTTAACTGTTTGTGTCTGTAAACTATTTCATTCATTTCATTATTAATGTTGGCTATATTAATCTAATAATGGGAATATTCTACTGTTGACTAATATGAAAAATAGTACTGTAAGATATACAGGTGCTGGTCATAAAATTAGAATATCATGAAAAAGTAGATTGATTTCAGTAATTCCATTTAAAAAGTGAAACTTGTATATTATATTCATACATTACATACAAACTCATATATTTCAGATGTTTATTTTGTTTAATTTTGATGATTACAAATGACAACAAATGAAAATCTCAAATTCATCATATCAGAAAATTAGAATATTGTGAAAAGGTTCAAAATTGATGGCCCCTGGTGCCACACTCTAATCAGCTAATTAACTCAAACCACCTGCAAAAGCCTTTAAATGGTCTTTCAGTCTAGTTCTATAGGCTACACAATCATGGGGAAGACTGCTGACTTGACAGTTGTCCAAAAGACGACCATCGACACCTTGCACAAGGAGGGCAAGACACAAAAGGTCATCGCTAAAGAGGCTGGCTGTTCACAGAGCTCAGTGTCCAAGCACATTAATAGAGAGGCGAAGGGAAGGAAAAGATGTGGTCGAAAAAAGTGTACAAGCAAGAGAGATAACCGCACCCTGGAGAGGATTGTGAAACAAAACCCATTCAAAAATGTGGGGGAGATTCACAAAGAGTGGACTGCAGCTGGAGTGAGTGCTTCAAGAACCACCACACACAGACGTATGAAAGACATGGGTTTCTGCTGTCGCATTCCTTGTGTCAAGCCACTCTTGAACCACAGACAGCGTCAGAAGCGTCTTGCCTGGGCTAAAGAGAAACAGGACTGGACTGCTGGTGAGTGGTCCAAAGTCATGTTCTCTGATGAAAGTAAATTTTGCATTTCCTTTGGAAATCAAGGTCCCAGAGTCTGGAGGAAAAGAAGAGAGGCACTTCATCCACGTTGCTTGAAGTCCAGTGTAAAGTTTCCACAGTCAGTGATGGTTTGGGGTGCCATGTCATCTGCTGGTGTTGGTCCATTGTGTTTTCTGAGGTCCAGGGTCAACGCAGCCACATACCAGGAAGTTTTAGAGCACTTCATGCTTCCTGCAGCTGACCAACTTTTTGGAGATGCAGATTTCATTTTCCAACAGGACTTGGCACCTGCACACAGTGCCAAAGCTACCAGTACCTGGTTGAAGGACCATGGTATCCCTGTTCTTAATTGGCCAGCAAACTCTCCTGACCTTAACCCCATAGAAAATCTATGGGGTATTGTGAAGAAGAAGATGCAATACACCAGACCCAACAATTCAGAAGAGCTAAAAGCCACTATTAGAGCAACCTGGGCTATCATAACACCTGAGCAGTGCCACAGACTGATCGACTCCATGCCAC